TAATTGATATTTGTATGTAGGGTTTGAATAAGGTTGGTGTATAGTTAGAAAAACCTGTTCTTATATATTGGTAACATGAGAAGTCTATAAGAATTAATAAAATGAATATTAAAACTTGGTTACTATTTAATTAGGTGTAGGAAAAAGAACCGTATCTTATAACTAATTATTGAGATTTTTAAATGTTTTAGACCGGCCAACACAGTTTAAGAAAAAGACTGGTAGTTAGACCGGACTGAATAACCAATACTGACATGTAGGTATTGTTATGCTATTTGGTGCCCCATAATTTTTAATATTAAAAGAAAACAATATGGATGCTGGTAGACTGGCTTGGACATTACGTAAGGCTGTTTCAACACAGGTCAAAGGAACTTTGTGTTTTATAACCTTAAAAGTAAACTGGAGGAATACTTATCTACAGTTTAATTTGTGAGCTGTAGGTGTACAAGGGTAACGAGAACAATGGTTTATTACTCAATGGGACTTTACAATCCTGAGAAACTTAAACTCACAGAGCTTCAAAGGGGTATACAAACTATGCAATTGTTTGTGTATAAACATCACAGGCAATCCAGAGTGTTTGTCAGCCATACGTGCCCAAAGTCTAAGGTCGCTTCCATGTTTTCAGGATATTCGAACTTAAATGAATCTATTGGAATCATGCATGATATATAAATGTAAACTAAATGTGTGATTGCTACAGTAATGTCTATAACTGCATCCTTGACTGATTTAGGGGTAAAAGGTAATATAGATATACTAATATAATTAGATTCTATTTTTCTTTGTAAAGATGAATGTATCAATCAGTTAATCATACAGGTTAGATTGATACAGGATATAGACATGTTGCATTATAATTAATATAACCAACCCTGTTTTAATTTAAGAATATATATATAACCAAAGACAGATATTTAATGTAATTTGAAATATCCCCAGTATAGGTGAATTAAAGGTCAACTCATTTATTTCACCAGGTCATCAATGATCTAATTCAGGTCTTCATACCTAGGGAAATAGTGCCATCTATTGACGAAAGTCCCTAAAGGACAAATTAATAATTAAATATTAAGATACACCCATAACCAATCAAAAGCCAGATTTAAGTCCCAGGTACCGCCCATTTACAAACAAGGAGCAGGAACTGGTAAGGGGAAAATAATGGTTAAATAGGGAGAAAAATAAGAGAGAGGATCAAGATCTTCAGGAGAAAACAAAGGGCTAAGAAAGGAGGAGATTGACTGACTAAGGGCAATAGACTGAATTATAGACCAGAGCACCCAGAGAGAAGATTCCCAAATTGAATTAATTCATCCTAGACTCTTGGTAATGTATAAAGGTTTCTCTTTACTTTATATTAAATAAACTGGACTATTGAATGCCCTATGTGTCTATATTCTGAACTGATCCCTATTGATAGAACAGTTATATCTCATTCTACCTGCAGCCTGAGTCAGATATAACTTCTTAAGTCGGAACATTCTTGATTCCTTCTTTAGACGTACATCAGTTCTATATACACATATATATATACACACCCACACACATATATATATATATATATATATATATATATACACACACACACACATATATATATACATATAAATATATATATATATATATATACACACACATACATATATACATATAAATATATATATATATATATACACACATACACATACATACACACACACACACACACACTATGGCTATCAGAAACCTTATATAAACGTACTGTAGTTAAACTGATGGTGTATACTTGGCAGGGTTGGTTGATATTTAACTAATTAATATAATGACCATTGTATCATTAATGCAAGGGGTGTCATTTGATTAATTCTGTATACTGGTATTGCTGGGAAGTTTGTAATAGCTTTTATTGTCCTTTGCTGACAAGATTATAGATGAGATAAAGTGTAATGTTGACTCTTAGGCTGTCAAGTAAATTAATTGACTTGTTGATGGAAACTCATAATATAGCAAATTGATTGTAATTGTATTGTTTTGTTGCTTTGCATTTTATAGTGTGTATTATAAAATTTATATATATTTTAAGCAAAGTCTGTTTATTGGCCATCTGCCGTTCATAAGTGTTTATATCACCGCTTAAAACAAAGAACTACAGGGTCCCTGAAGGCTCTGTGTGTGTGTGAATATCATCAGATATTATTCAATCTATATTCCATACATATAAAACCTTAGATTACCCAACAGTATCAGCAGTTAACTGACCGAACAGGGAATATGCGTTTACATTTAAAATTCGTGTAAATGAAATTCATGAATTTACTTAGCATGGTTTAAAAGAATTAACCGTAATAGGGATTTGTACCATGCGTTCGTTTAAACCGTACGAATAGATCAGTACTGAATGAGAAAATAGTGAGAGATCAATTTCTTAAGATTGCTGAAATCCACAGGACTGATGCTAAAAAGTTGGAACCCTCTGTATCTTAGCTGATTGGGTAGAATTAATAAAATGCTTATATAGTCCCTAGATGGACTTACTTTTTTTAAGATGATACCACTAAAAATTCCCAACCCATGGTTAGAGATCATACAAAGTACATTTAGAAATTTTGTGTGGAGGGGCAAGAAACCGCGTATCAAATTAGATCAATTAACCAATTCTTTAACACAAGGAGGTGTGAATTTTCCGAGTATAACAAAACATTATGAAGGAAGTTTTATATATCATATTCAGTCGTTAATTAAGAAAGATAACGAAAAAACAGGATGATATCTTAGAAACCCAATCGTTAGATAAACAACTAAACAAGCTTATCTGGCAGATCCACAATGTGAATAATAGGGACGAAATTAGAAATAAGATTATATTGCATACAATTTACTATTGGCATAAGATAAGGAAAAAGTTGAATGTTTTGGGAACAGTTTATGGTTTCATGGGAATGGAAATTTTGGAGGCTCTAATGGTTGATCTAAAATTGGATACATCGAAATATCAACCTTGTAGATGATCTTTTAATTAATTTTCCAAAGTCAAAAACTGTGATGTATTATCATCAGAATTTGGTTTACCATCTGATGAAATATTTCACTACTTGAGAGTAAAATCAATGTCATCAAAAAATCTTGAGGATGGGAGTAATCGAAGTTCAATATATATATAAAACAAACAGATTTTCGATGTTGAGAATCCCTCGAAGATTTTATCTAAATGTTATGCACTTATAAAAGCTAATATAAAACAAAACAGACTATCTCAAAGAGATAGAAAGTGTTACTTAAAGGACCACTCTAGGCACCCAGACCACTTCAGCTTAATGAAGTGGTCTGGGTGCCAGGGCCTTCTAAGGTTAACCCATTTTTTCATAAACATAGCAGTTTCAAAGAAAATGCTATGTTTATGAATGGGTTAAGCCTTCCCCTATTTCCTCTAGTGGCTGTCTCATTGACAGCCACTAGAGGCGCTTGCGTGCTTCTCACTGTGATTTTCACAGTGAGAGCACGCCAGCGTCCATAGGAAAGCATTATGAATGCTTTCCTATGTGACCGGCTGAATGCGCGCGCAGCTCTTGCCGCGCGTGCGCATTCAGCCGACGGGGAGGAGAGAAGGAGGATCGGAGGTGGAGAGCTCTCCGCCCAGCGCTGAAAAAAGGTAAGATTTAACCCCTTTCCCCCTTCCAGAGCCGGGCAGGAGTGGGACCCTGAGGGTGGGGGCACCCTCAGGGCACTATAGTGCCAGGAAAACGAGTATGTTTTCCTGGCACTATAGTGGTCCTTTAACAGTGCCTAAAAGATGGAAGCTGCTCAACACTAAAAGTGGAGTACCTCTTACCCACAATAAAAAACAAATACAAAAATAAGGTATAAAAGTTATACCAGACAAGTGGAGCGCTGTAGACAATGAAGGGGTTTACTCACCCCCTTTAAGTGCAGTGACAATCTTGAGAAACTTACATAGACATAAAAAGGGAACAAGAAAAAGAAGAAAATATAGTGCAGACTGTTTTATCCAAATAGGCAGTTGATGGTAATAAATGGCTTAAACCACTCACATGGACAGGAGCCTATATAGTATTGGCTCCTTAAAGAAGGTCCTTTATGCTCTTTGGGCAGCAAACACCCCTTGTCCCAGGCAGTATCACTCCAGGAGTATACAACGAGAGAGAAAACAGAGAAGCAGCTGTGTAGAAAAGCACATATATAGTATATAGTATGTGCTTTTCTATAACTGCTGCTTTCTAGGACATTTTGTAGACGAAGATTTGCCACCCCTCTCATCAGTGCAATTTCAGCTGTAGTAGAGTCATCTAGTTTAGAATCAAAAAGTCTGCCTGGTTCAAATTTTCAGGCTTTCTGTAGAATAATCCACTATTAAAAAAAATAAAAGAAATAAAAATTTAAAAATCAAACGCCATCTCAATTTTTTCTCCTGCATAGATCTTTACCAAAGAGTCTATGCCACTGATATACCTGCAAATTAGTGCTTTACACTGAGATGCTGAGGAGCTAAACAGCTGCTTCAAAGAAGAGTCAATCCTTTTTACCATTGCATCTTTCAAACCACTTGAATCTCCAATGGGTAATGTGTTCTTTTTTACCCAGTTGCACTATGGGTACATCTACTACAGGAATAGGCTCTAACAAACACTCTGGTTCCTTTTCGATGGCAAAAAGAGATTTAAAGTTTCTTTCCAGGAAATTTCTATTCCCATAAAATCAGATCTTAAAGGGACACTATAGTCACCCAGACCACTTCAGCTCAATGAAGTGGTCTTGGTGCCAGGTCCCTCAGGTTTTAACCCTTCAGATACAAACATAGCAGTTTCAGGGAAACAGCGATGTTTATATTTGGGGTTAAGCCAGCCTATAGTGGCCGTCTTCCGGACAGCCACTAGAGGGGCATCTGCAACGCTGGCAAACAGTTGCTGCTGGGTTATATAGCCTCCAAGGTCCTGGAAAACCAAAGTGTGTAAAAAAAATTAAAATAAATAATTAATTTTGGCACCCGAATTCTGAAATCATGCACGGTGGAGCGCATCAGAACCTGTACTTGCATTCCACCGCCAAGACCTCCCAGCCCGTGCACGCATACGCACCTTCGCCTTACCCGGTGCGGTATTGGCAGAAGTTATAAGTATTGGTGGAACACAGGCGCCTGGCGTGCGTTCTACCAGTCCGGGGGCCTGAAGCGAGTACACCTGTTGGCCATCCTGAGGAGAAGAACCTGAAGCAGAGCCTCCAGAGCTGCTCCCTCACCTTGCTTCTGCTAAGACAGGGGTAAGCCTGACAACCTCATCTACCGGAGGCAGGCAAGGAACTGGGGAGCTTTGGGGTTGAAGGCACTTTATAGTGCCAAAGGAGATTTGGTGGAGGTTCTAAATATTTTGGGGGGTTTTGCCTGCCTTATTTTCCCTCTAGCTGAGAAATCCCTGTTGTAATGCACTGCCTCTAATCTGAAGGCAAAAAAGCAAAGGTGAAAATATTATTAAAATAAAGATCACTAAAGGTACTTCTAAAGCTCATTTGTACAATATTTATGGGATAAAAGAATTTACGGACAGTAGGTTCACGGTGGATGGGGAGGGGACACCTCCCTGCATACGACTTACACAGCCTTCCTAAACACATCCTGTAAAAGATTAATCTAATGTGACTTTATTGCAATTGCGGTTTAATTTAGAATTTATAATCTCCTGCTCTGTTAATAACTAGCAAGACCCTGCAGGAGTCTCCTGTATGTAATTAAAGTTCAACTTACAGAGCGAGAGATAAAAACGTCTCAAGTAAGTTAACATGTGATTGAAAATTAAACCTATTTATCCCCATAAAGGCTACTTGAGTCACAGGTATTGGAGGCTGCAACAACTTAATACTAATAACATTGATTTAACAAAAGTGATTGAACAGTGAGACTTTAGAGACATGATCTATACACCAAAACTGCTTCAGCAAGATAAAGTTGTTTTGTCGACTATAGTGTTCCTTTAAGTAAAATTATCTTTTTTTTTATGCTGACAATTATAACAAAAATTCCATATCTAAACATTATTCTGAGCATGTATTTGCCTAAAATTACAACAAAAAGAAGAAGGATTTTCAGTCCTTGAAAAACGCAAAAAACAAAACCCCACAACGAGTACATATTCACTTTTAAATACCTATTATTGTGGCCAACGATCTTCCTCTTGATCATATTCCAGAGGTTTTTAACAGGGTTCATGTCTGAAGATCAAGCCTGGATTTAGTGGTCCTCCATCCACACCTTGATTGTCCTGGCTGTGTGGCAAGGAGCATTGTAGTGCTGAAAAAATCAACTCTTTGAGTTGGGGGAATCATTGTCAGAGCAAAAGGAAGCATGTTTCCTTCCTTATGTGGCTTGATTCATGTGTCCTTCACAAAGATGAATCTTCACGATTTCAGCCTTGATGAGGCACCCTCAAAATCAACACTACTCCACCAAATGTTACTGTGGATACCAGACACTGTGGCATGCAGGTCTCTGTCTAACCATTAGCCGTGTTGGGCACAGCTGAAAATTGGATTCAGAGAATATGACCTTACTCCAGTGCTCATCATCCCTCTCCTCAAGGCAAACCTAACAGACCAGGATTTAGGGATTACCCAGGTCTAGAGTCCAAGCTGTTTTTAGTTTTTTTGTTGTTTTTTTTTTTAATCATCATGACCACCAGATTTGTATCCTATGTCTTAAAGTAAAAGTTATGTTTTATTTATATCTTGATTAGTGATGTCCCGAACGGTTCGCCGTGGACGGCGAACATAAACATAAACTTTGACCCTGTACCTCACAGTCAGCAGACACATTCCAGCCAATCAGCAGCAGACCCTCCCTCCCAGACCCTCCCACCTCCTGGACAGCATCCATTTTACATTCATTGTGAAGCTGCATTCTTAGTGAGCTGTCCAGGAGGTGAGAGGGTCTGGGAGGGAGGGTCTGCTGCTGATTGGCTGGAATGTGTCTGCTGACTGAGGTACAGGGTCAAAGTTTATGTTCACCGTCCGCGTCGAACCGTGCGGCGAACCGTTCGGGACATCACTAATCTTGATAGTTATTAGTTCACAAGGGTAACACTGTATACTCACAATAATCACTCCTTATTTAGTTTGTTGTTTTGTGTATTTAATATTTTAGGGGTTATCCCTCATTCAGGAGTTACACATTGGCCAACCGTTATTTACTATTTTAGAACTGAATAGAGCGCCAACAGATTTCTGTTAAACTAGGATTGTCTAAATAGAAAAAAGTGTTGAATTAGCTTGGGAAACAGAATCAAAGGCACACTAAAACATAAAAACACCAAAAGCACATCAGGATCATTATTCAACAGAAGTTAAAAATACAAACCACACAACTGTCCAGCTCATCATCCAGTCTGACTCTAATCAATTCCAGGAATTTCTCAAGAAGTTTGAATTTTTTCAGGAGCCAAGAAAAAGCGAGAAGCAATTCTCTACTACCTTCAGACCCATCACAGGGAAGGTCGTAGAAAGCTGATCTTCCATATCCCTGATGTCTAAGTACACATTTCACATATTTTGCTTGATTTTCTGCAAAGAAAGATGAAAAAAATAGGTTTTCATTTGCATCAACTAGAACAATAAAATGAAAAAGAAAAAAAAAGGGAAGCAATGGGGTAGGAAATAGTCTTCAGTTTTAATTCCTTTAACTTTAAAATGAATAATTCTGAGCAGCAAGAGTCAGTATATCAGGCAACCACCTCCGACAGGAGCATCTCATTCTGTGTATAGGGTCTGACTATCTCATAAAACACTGTCCATCATATTCATATGGAATACGTAGATCATATCCAAAATAATTTTTTTATATAAAATAAACACACATATATATATAACACTTTATTTAAAATATTTAAAACAATCCCAAACCATTCTTTGACAAAAGTCTAAAAATGTAACTAACCTAGTTATAAAAAGATAGATAAATTTGCTGCTGAAGACAGATGGTATCCATTGTGATAAAGTGAAGGCAGATAGGCCTATAACATTTAACCCCAGGGGGAGTATGTGTAGTATGTGTTGTAGGCAACACAAACCACCGTTTAGTTATGGGCCCCTGGGGTGGAGCATTTGGAGAGCAGGGTGGGCCAATGCTCCACTCCTCAGTTTATACACAACTGGGAGAAATCAGGTCCAGGCAAGAGTTTTTTGGAACTGTCTCCAACCCACTGCTCAGCTGCAGATAATCAGCTGTAGCAGTGGGAATAAACCCCTCCCTGCTATGCAGGTAAAGGGGGGATTGCTGTCTTCCTCTCCTGAAGCAGGTTGGAGAGAGGCTGTTCTCTCCAGTGAGAGAGTCAAGGAGACTGAGCACTGGGAGTGCAAAAGGAAAGCAGTCAAGGCTGGCTTGGAGCACTGGGAGTGCGGAAAAGAGAGATATTTTTGTTTATTTCTAGAAGGAATGGAAGCCACATGCTAACTGAGTGTGGAGTGCAGAGATCTGACAAAGGCACTAGGTTGGTGAACACAAATATTATTTTGTTCTAGTTTAAACCCTGAGAGAGAGGGAGTCTGATGTATGTTAGTGCTCAGACGAGCTAGGCTTTTGTTTATAGGGATTTGTGTTATTATTGTTGTTTCTTTTATTTGCTGCTGTAGCTGTGGTGGAGTTTATCAATACAACTGCATGGATTATATGCACACCAAAGGACTGTGCCTGTTTACCCTAGAGGACCGTGCTACCTGCAGACAAGGATCACACCATATATAAGTCAGGGGTAGACAATCTTATACACTCCAGATGTTGTAGACTACATCTCACATAATGCTTGCAAAACACCAGGGGAGATGTAGTCCATGGGATCTGGAGTGCCAAAGATGTACTACTCCTGTGCCAAACCATCAAAAGAATTACACACAGCAATACATTCTTGTTTTCAAAGAACCTATATGAGAGTATTCATGCCAACACCAAAACTAAAATGATCTTTCCCCCTACCACTATGGTCTCTAGTATTCAGTCAGAAATCCAGGATGTCATTTAATATATCTAATGTGGCTTGGAGGCAGTACATGAAATACTGCAAGTGTAAAAAGAGCAATGAGATGTTGCTGCACTCAACAGAAAAATTCCATTCCCCACGCAGCTAATAGAGCCAGTCAGGGAAGGTGATTTGAGCTTAATTTTGTAACAAAATGCATTTTTAGGGGCGTGAGCTCTATGCCGACTGCCTAAACTGGCGATAGCTGTGTAATGGACAGCCAGCCAGCCAGCTGAAATGGATACTAATACTGAGGAGAAGATACACTTTCATGAGAAAGCACCATGGCAGGGACCGAGGTGATTCAAGCCAACACAGAGGCTAAGGAGATTGGAGATCTGATGTGGCTGCGCCCCACTGCCAACATGGCCTCTCCTCAAAGACACCTTTGAAAGTTCAGAGTAGGGGTACCTACGGAGACTACCCACCACGAGGAGCCGACCTGGACGGCCCGAGCAGAACCTGGCACTGCTGGGCGTCTGATGGCACCCCACGATGAATGCCGGCCCGCAGGAAAAGTGAGTGCCATGGGAGGCCCTCATCGGACTCATTAACAGCAGCCCTGCTCCCATACTGATAAAGCTCTTACCAGTATTGCATCGTTAGCTACAGTCCACATCAGACTGCGCATTGTAGGATGATCACTTCTTCTAAAAATGCATTAGTCGGGTTACATATTCCTCTGCATGTATTGCATAATAACCTACAGTTTACATACAATATATCACTGATTGATGGGCATTGGACATTGCAGCAACGACTCAACTATGTTTCTATAATCACTGCAGGATCTGCTCGTCAGCATCCAACTAAGTTAACATGTTATGTAGCCGTAAACCAACCCTTATGCCTAGATTATTGACATGTATGCTGAGGCGCAGGTGATTATGCACCCTACGGGGGCAGTTATTGAATTAACATGTCACATAGCCGAGAGCAGGCCAGGCAGGCCATGGGTTACGCTAACAGTTAACACTGAACGAGGGAATATAGCCCAGTCTGAACGACTCACAGACGGACAGACACTTATAATATACAGCTTTACGGAAGTGGAAAATCTAGTTTAATTTGCGTTTCACGCTGCCTTAAACGCAGTCATTTCCAGAACAGATAGGTTGCTACCACATAGTATCTCATGTCACCAGCAAAGTCATATTAGCATGACTAGCCAGAAGAGACGTTTCAATACTGCTTCACCAGCCATATTATAACACGCACTGCACCTCATTTTATATCTATAATTTTGCAAATAATAAGCATACTCGCTTTCTATAATTGCTCTCACTCTGTTAGCTCTCCAATACGCTGATTCAAAAGTGATAACTGAAAGGGAATAATTAAAAATAAATATATATACACACACACACACACACACCTTAATAAAGACAGATTTAACACAAAATGCATTTTTAAGGATTAGGTACAATGACACATAACTTTTAAGGTGACTTGTTTTTTTTACTTACCCAAACCCTTATTTTCATTTGCTAATGAAGAACAATTATTCCTTTGGTATGTTTGCTGCAATAAGCAATACAGCAACTTCCAAAACTCTGAAGCCTAAGATAACAAACAATAATTGTATTATTAACAGTAATTATATACTTATAAAATAAATACTCAAGATTATAAAACAGAAAAACAGTGAGTAGAACTATAGAACTGTATCTTAGTCAATGATCTATTTGGATTTTACAAAGGCATTTTATAAGGTTCAGCACATGTTATTGTACAAATTGAAAGGAAGTGGTTTAGATGAAAACAATCGTTCTTGAAATGATCACTGGTTTAATTAAATATATATCACAGATATGAGTGGTTAATGGAAACTTTACAAGTTGGATGACTTACTGCAGAGGAAAGAGTTCCTCGTAGTAAGAACAAGAAGAATGTAGAATTCTTTACCTAAAAAGGGTTGTTTTCAATCAATGAATCTCTATAGGAAATATTAAGCGCCCCATGAAGAGCGTGGAGACGCTGAAAGCCAGTGACTGCCACTAGAGGTTTTCTGGACACCAATATATAAACTGCCTTTTTTTCTGAAAAGGCAGTGTTTACAGTGCTAATACTGGAGGAACATGCTCTAGACACCAGAACTACTACATTAAGCTGTTGTGGTTCTGGTGACTATTTAATGCACGTGGCAACAGTGTGTTGAACCAAGGAGATAGCCATGTGCCCCTTGGAATCAAGAAGAACTTTTTTCCCTGTTGTGACACAATTGGAAATGGTTTCAATTCATTCCCTCAGCACATAGGCAGAACGGACATCACTAAGGTGGTTGTAGAAATTCTACATTAGTTATAACAGAAGGGAAGACTGATCTGTGGGATTGACTACTTACTGCGGGAAGGTGACCAGGGACACCTGACCTCAAAGCGCGCTATAGAGGTTATAGAGGTGATATAGCTGTGATAAGTCTTAAAATTAGACTTAGTGAGCATTGTAGGAACATAAAAAATGGATACTTAAATCATTCTTTATCTAAACACTTTTTAATTTATAATAAAGATCCAAAAATGCTAAAATATATGGGTATAAAAAATGTTCCCTACCCTGGAGAGGAGGTGGAGACATAAAAAATATTTTAGGTAAAACAGAGATGGAATGGGTCTACAAGTTACAGACCCTTATACCAAATGGGCTTAATGCAGACTTTGATCTGCACAATTTTTTATAAAAATGTCTGTTTTATTATGTATTTTAATATTTTATCTTCTCATTTTTCAACCTTCTCTGTATTTATATGTTATCATCTTTTTGGTAAATATGCATGTATCTTATATTATATGAGTACATGCATATATTTCTCTTAATCAAGTTTTTAATGTTATTTTATTTATGTAATCATTTTTATGTTTTCAGAAATTGGATTCCTGGGGCTTTTTATTCATTCTACCCCTTTGTGTATGAATAGCCTGTATTACTGTAATAATCTCGTCACGAGTGCCCAGTGACCGGCAGGACTTCAAATCGCAAGGCCACTGAGCCCTCTGTGTATGCGCAATGCGCTTGAGCGACCCGCCCACAAGTCCGCTCGCGCATGTGCGACGCACGTCATTGAGTCCCGATCATGTAATCGGGACCAATAATAATTATATCATTCTACAAGCTTCGTTTTTATTAAATAAACAGTCCCCATGCTTAATGAAACCAATCCTTTTTTACCCAAATAGTTTTTAGGTTGATTTGATAAATTCAAAACAAACTGTTTGTAATACTTGTCTGTGATTGGTGCATTAGGTTTTGGCACCAAATTCAACCTCTGTATAATCTTATAAATTCTGTTTAATGCCAGGTATAATGTTCTTTTACCATTTTGAAAAAACCTCATAGGTGAAACGCGTAAATGGTTTTAAATAGTGTATTTTAATCAATAAAAGTTATTTTTGGTTACCTCTCAATAGGACCAATCTTATACTTATTATTATTGTATTTTATACACTCCTATTATTTCCTGGCATCCTTTTATACATTATTTTCTTTTTTATAAATATTTTATATATTTTTATATTTATTTTCTATTTTTTCCTTTTATTCTACCAATTTATTACTCTCAAGTGTATCCCATCTCAAGAAATCCTTATGTGGGGATAATTCCACCAGCGCTGTGGCAATAGAGCAGTATTTGTCTGCTCTATTTTTGTAAGTATAATGTATCTTATTTAAATACCTTATTGTTCCAACTGAGAGCACTATCTGCGGTTTTATATATTCTGTGGATAACAACGGATCCCAAGCCGGAGAGATGGACCTATTCTTCCAATATATCCTCAACTACAAAGAGTCTCCTACATATGAGCTGGTCCTAGCTTACATTTAAGCAACTTGAAGGAATACCAAGCCGGACGGACGGATGGACCAACCATCCCAGTATATCCTATAGTTGGGATTAAACCACTAAGTGCCCTTTCTCCTAGAGCTGGTCCAAGCTCCAACAAATGTGAGTGTAATACCTTTCCTTGATTTATATACCACATCTGGATCTGCAATATTTCACCATTGGCAGCTTTTTCTCTTGTCTTTTTTCTCCACATATATGGACTATTTATCACACGGACGGACCAATATTTGAGGACTAAAACCACACCATATACCAGTGAGACTGTTCCTATTTATACTACCTAATATCCATATTTGGACGAACTTTGTTTATTTTACTTATATTATATCTTGGTTCAAATACTTGCTGTTTTTACTTTTATTTATTGATTTTATGCGCAGCCCTTAACTCCTTTTGCCTTCTCTTGTTCTCCAATGGTTCTTTGAGGGATTCCCTTTTTAGGGTTGCTGCTCTTTTATCTGTTAGTTAGCGCAGACTCTTCTCCCCTTCTTGCTTTAAAAACAATTCTTACCCTAATAATTATTCACTTTCTCACTAGGTTTTTCAAATACATTTAAGGGGCTACTCCAAACACCACGACCACTTTAGTGATATGATGTGCGCCTAGAGTCCGTATGTGCAGGGTTTCGATATGAACCGCTGTACATAAGGAGGGGAGTTCTAGGATGGTACATAGTTGCATTCACTGGCTGAAAGCAGTCAGCTGATGCTCTTAGACATGTATAAGAAATATATGAATCAGTAACAAGATTTTGAGTGACTCCAATGCTAAAGGTAGTAATTTAAAATATAATAAATACAAGGAGATTAATAGTAACCATCAAATATCAATAATGTTTTCTATCTTCAGAATTCCTATTGGGGCCACCCCAAAAAAAAAAAAAAAAAAATTCACGTATAACAAATTGCTGCCGTTAGCATTTGGAGCCACCCAAAACCTGTTTACTGATTCATATGCCTTACTCTAATCTAATGCGCCCCTCAATTTTTCAAACCTGAAAGCTGAAAATGTCTTTTTCCTGGCAAATATAATGTACATTTACACAAGAAGATTCTACTATACAACATTGTGCTACAATGAAAATGTTTATTGCCATATAACATGGTAACAATGATGGTATTTCAATTTTAGTGTTACATGTTAAGTCTATTTTTTCTAAAGAAATTTGCCTGTGTGATGTTTTTTGCGGTGCATGTAAGGAACATATGCAAGTACAGACATGACATCGAGCAATATTGCAATGGTGTAAAAGCACCAGACATGTTGAGAAAGTTGCACCATTTTTTTTTGCTCTTTGGAGTTAGGACCCAGTCATGTTCCGGTGCCCGTAGCCATGTGGTTCCGTGGGGTGAAGGAGACTACTGTAGCTGGGTCCCAGGTCGGTGTTGCCCTCCTGTCTCTTGACTCTTCGTCGGGGGCTGACAGTCCCAGTGCCCGCAGCAGTGCAGGCGCCTCTTCGGCCGAGGTGATCCTGTGGTTAGTCCCATTATGACTCACCATGAGAGCTCGTGGAGTAGTCCATTGGTATGGTATTCCCGCGTGTCTCAGTTGGCTTGTAGCCTGGAGCAGTGATTTGCACCATTGTAAGGTGGGCCTTGACAGGTCCTGGTAGAAGAACAGTTAAGCTCTCTCAAATGTGTAGGGAGTTTGGCTTCGGAGTGCAGCAAGTAGTGCCTGTTTGTCTTGAGCTAAGGCGCAGCGGAATGTGATGTCACTCACTGAGTTTGTTGGGGCCTTTGGTGATTTTGGTAGGCGAAACATGCCATCAAAAGCAAGCTTTTTGGTCTGTGATGGTGGCAGTAGTGAAGCCGTTAGACGTCTCAGGTAGTTGGGCATCTCTGCTCAAAAATTTGGAAACATTTAAAAAAAAAAAAAAGTATATATTTCTTTTAAATTTATATCTTATATCTATATCTTGATCATTAAGATATACTAAAGGTGCATTTGTTGTTTTTAAAAATAGGGTATTCCAAGTATTTTAGAACATAGGTGATCTTTGTTTTATGCATTCACTTTCCCCAGTATTTATATTTCCCTTAACCCTCCCATTTTAAATATGGAGCCTGTTACGTACGTACGGCCCATATTAATTGACTAGTTACAAACTTTATGGATAACAGAGTGATGGAGGAGATCGGGGTCAAAACAAGGGGCGGTACTGACATGCTGCAAGTGCCACAACATTACTTCCGCGGGTCCTGAGAATTTTAAGGTGAGCTTTACATTGAAATAACTTAAGTGAATAAGCCCCATACATACTACACAACCCTCCCCCCTCACCCCCTTATGTATTTTTAGTTCTGTACTTCCATCACAAGGCAGGTGTGATGTTGCCTAAAGGTGCATTCTACAGAGCCAGTACTGACAGGTTCTTGTCCATGTGAGTGGTTCAAAACCATTTTCCACCACGAATTTCAATACCAAGTACCATCTGCATTATATTCTCTGTATATTTATGTTTTTCATGTATCCAAATGAAGTATACCCCACTTAATTTGTATAATATAAGGGTAAGCAACATTGCATGTTTATGTCTTAGAACGCTCCACTATTACACATAGCTTTCAAACACTTATATAACACCAAATGCACATTCTGTGCAACTCTGACTTGCTCAGGACATTGTGCTGCCTGGGTCCAAGGATAACATGCTGCCCCCTCTATGAAATGTGTGTCTGCGTGTGTGAATGGATGTAGCGTGTCTGTGTACGTGCTTGGAATGTAGCATGTGTCTGTGTGTGTGTGCACTGCAGCCAATACATTTACCTATACACTGTGTCTGCTATCTGCATGTGTGTCAGTGTTTGTATCTGTATCTATATCAGTGATTGTATCTGTGTATCAGTGTTTCTGCATCTGCATGTGTATAAGTTTGTGTATCAGACACAGATGTACAGATACTATTTAGAAAATTGGGCAGACTAGATGGGCCGAATAGTTCTTATCTGCCGTCACATTCTATGTTTCTATACAGATGTACAGACTGAAACGCCTGCAGATACACAGACACACACACACACACATACACACTATACACCCTATACACCCTATACGCCAGAGCTTGACAAATTTGCTTGGAATCTAGGAGCCAGGCTTTTCAATGTAAAATATGCAATTCTTAAAGGGGACGCTATAGTTACCAAAACCACTACAGCTTAAGGTATAGTATACATTCCCATCCCTGCCCCTGCTCATTTTTCAATGTAAACCCTGCCTTTTCAGAACTTAGTAACACTTCCAGTGACAGTCACTCAGACAGCCTTTAGAGTGCATCTTGGGTAAGTGCTGTACAGTGCGCAGCAACTACATTTAGCGTCTACATGCTGCGCGTGGAGGCGCTAAATGTTCCCCATAGAAATGGATTTATTCATCTATGAGGAGATGCGGATTGGTGCAGCATGGCGTTTTGCCACACATGCTCAATAGCCTCCCATTGGTTTCCTTTTGGAAAGCATTGGATTGCCTGAGATCATCACAGTCGTGGCGGCAGGGCCAGCTACGGCGAGACCAGCACAGTGTGGGGGAAAAAGGTGAGTAAAAACCCCTGTCCTTTGCGAGGTCAGCTAAACACACACACACACACACACACACACACACACACACACACACAATGTGACCACCAAGCCTCCCTACCTTTTGGTAGAGCTTGAGTGGTTCAGCTTTCCCTGGAGTCCAGTGGGGCTTCAGTCATTTCCCTGCTCTGCTCCATAGAACACTGTTTAGTTATGCCAGGGCCGGAATTACCTCGGCTCCCGGCATCACTAGAGGTTGCGCGAGGGAGCAGAGCAGGGAGGTTACAACTCCTCTGCGTGCCTGTCCATCTGGCTCAATCTTACAGGAGCCTCCCGCCCATGTGCATACCTGCCCGCCCTCTCCCTCAGCTGGTCGGTCTGCCGACCGCACGCGCAGCAATGCTCTCCCTCAGCAGGCCGACAGACTGCATGCCCATGCGCTTCCTGAGCTGACCAGCTGACCGCACGTAAGCCCATGCTCTTTATGAGCCAGTTGGCCGTCTGCACTCATAAGCAGCCGACCACCCCAGGGGCTACATGGGCCAGCAAACCCCAAGTGCCAGGGCAAAAATCCTAGTAGCCATGACGACGTGGGATTTGTCGAGCCCTGCTATACACAGACATACAGATACACACATGCATATACACAGAGATACAGATACACACACTACACAAATTCAGATATACA